TTTATCCTTAAAGAAAACAGAAGAAAAAGCGTGTGCTCTTAAACACTTGTAACTCTTTAAATGAAGACAGGGTTAAAAGCGTAATCTTGCTGGGAGATTAGTAGAACACTGTTATGTACAAAGGGTACATTAGTCATTTCAGATCAAGAAGCGGACTTCTTTTATGAGAAGAAGATTTTCTCGAATATATTAAAAGATCCATCAAATCTTTCTCCTACTCTCTTCTCCGTTTATGATTTATCCTTCTCTGAAAACAAGATTTTCTCGGGAAAAATCATGAACATGAAATCTTCTAGCGACGATTCTTCTTCTTCTCCCTCTTACCCTCCTCCTCCTCTCACTTCATCACCTCTCTACATCGCGAGAAAAGCCAAAGAGATTCTCGCAAGCCGTGACGTCACAGAACTCACCAACCTCGTCACGAATCTCTGTTACGAAAAAGAAAACGACGAATCTTCGAAGCTTCTCTACAAATGCTTCACCAAACATTTCCCCAATCTCTTAGCCACAAAACTCCTCCAAGTCTACAGATTCACGACTTCTCCGAGACCCAAGATTCGATCTTTTTCCCTCTCCCTCCTCGACTCGCTTCTCATCGATCTCGAAGAATCACGCGTAGGTTTGAACACAAAGGCATTGGGAGATATCAAAGAACATCTAAACGCTTGCCTTGTCTCGCAAGAAACCTCTGAAGACGACTTCAAACTCCTCTCAAGAATCATTTCTCGTGTAGCTGTTGATTCCTTCATCGAAAACATCCCTTGGCACGAGCTCTCTTCTTACATCATCTCCTTACACGAAGAAGACGACCACAAGAAAACTCTCTTGATCTTCAGCGAGTTGCCAATGGTTCTTGACGAAGACTTCTTGATGCCGTTATTGGAGAATGATCTTCACGTAAAGATATTAAAAGGGTTGTTGGATCCAAGCTCTGACGAAGAATGGTGTTTAGCTTTAGAAGCTGGTTTCAACATGGCGCTTCAGCTTATAAGTTTGCAGAGGAAAGATTTGGTTTTTGATATGGTTTACGCGATTGTGAAATCGGTTTTGGAGATGGCGAATGTGAGGAAGAGAAAGATTCTTGTGCGTAAAGGGCTTATGAGGATAGTGAGGAAAGTGCGTAGAGAAGCTTTGAGGTTTCGTGAGGCAGAGTATGAAGTTGTGTCACGTTTTGCTTTGATGATGATGAGAATCGATGGAGTTGGGAAAGTGACGGAAATGGCTGCAAAAATGATTCATCATGTTCTTGACAGGTATTACATGGGAGGTGGTGGATTGGATTGGGGTTTTATCCAAACCCAAACTGGTTTCAACTTTGCTTAATCAGGTTCTGGGATTTAGGATTTCTTGTAGTTAGTTTTAGTGACAAGGGAAAGAGATATTGTACAAATAGATTACTTCTTTGAGTTTTTACATGTTGTCAAAACCATTCCATTGATGAAAGTTAGAGTTGCAAATGTACAAAAAAAAATGGAATTTCTATAACATTATGATAATTTTGACACACAAATTGAATCTGAAAAATTCTTAGCAAGTCTGAAAAGTTCAGTTACGGCTCTTATTAATTTCGAGATAACCAACTCGACAATTCCCGGTTAACATCAATTCGACATGAAACCAGAAATTGAAATTTCTAATCTCTTTGGTTAGCTGTTTCCAAAGTCTTCTAGAATCATCCCGACGCTTCTCTTCTTCTTCTTCAAAATCGAAATCCTCCGAAGAACTCAAAATCAGTAGTTAAAACCATGTTCGGCGTCGTCTTCCCCAATCGGAGTTTCCCAATGGACATCTCAACCTTCGTCCAAATCGATACCTTCCACTGGGTTCTCGACATGAACCACTTCGTCGGTAAGTTTCTCTTCTCATTATCATCCTCTCTCCATAAACCCTAAAACTCAAATCTAAATCGATTCTTAACACAGGTGAAGCATACGATCAAATCGGAGAGATGTGTATCTTCTTACTGAACAACTTCACTCTTCCACCAGATAAAGCATTAGCTGTCTACGTCCAATCTCCAGGATCCGCTTTCGTTTTCTGCGGTGCCGTAACCCTAAATCGACCATCGGCTGTTTTGTCTTTACAGTGGCCGGAGCCAGGAACTGCAGCGAAGATGCAACTCACGGCGGGGGATTCAACTCCTTTGTCTGCGAAAATCGGAATCTCGGTGGAGGATGCGGCGGCGCTTCAGTCGATGGATGTAGCGGCGGGGAGAAGAATCGAGCGATTGGCGATGAAAGTTGGAGAGAATCTGTTCAATTTTATGCAGTCGTTTTGTGGTGTTGATGGAAGTAAATTGGTGGTTCCGATGGATATTTTGGATCGCTGGTTTAAGAAGTTTCAGGAGAAAGCAAAACGTGATCCTGATTTTCTCAAAAGCTTCGCTTTGTGAAGTTATTATAACCTCATAAAGGTTAGGTTTTTTTCGTCTCTTTGATCTTGTTTTAACCTGGATAGTAATGGGAAAGCTTAGCTTCAGGTGGACTACAATGGCGGTTTTTCCCATTTGATCTTGTCTGTATGATGAATTGAAGAGGAGATTGTAGTTTACTTAGTTTGCCATTGAGGATGTGTTCTTTTTGCTTGCATATGAATCACAAATATATTAACTTGGTTCATAAGCTCAAAGTCTGCTCTTTCCAATTGAAAGTGTTATACTTTATACATTACATGGATGCTTCACTTCACTACTATGGCTGTTTTTTAACCATTTGATTGAAAAGATTGTAAGTTTATCTAGTTTGCCATATAGAAATTGAGGGGTATCAATTTTCTGCTTTTAGTGTTCTTCTTGGTTGCATATGAATCACGGTTCAGTGGAGTGTAGGCTGTTTCAAATATGGTCACGTTCATGAGCTTGAACTCTGCTCTTAAGCAATTTAAACTGTTAGATTTAATCTTATTGCCTTAAAGGTAAATGAAAGGTGAAGATTAACCCATTATTAGTAGTGGCATTCTCCTGATCTGGCTGTGCGTTTTTGTGCATCTTTCAACATCTATTTTCAGCAGTTACAACTTTTTAGACTAAGTTGTGGGATATCGATTGCTTCAAGCCCATTTTCTTTCGAAGTTCTGCTTCTTGCTCTGATCTCTGCATTTGATGATATTCTTGCTTTGCTTGGGAAAGCTCCAGCTACTTTTTAGCTTCTCTCCAAATTAAAAGATTTGAGCTTCTGTTTTATCTATAAGTCCACTCATAACTAATGTTCAAACTGAAGAACACTTACAAATGCGTTGGATTCTCTTTTTATTGTTGGATTGGTATCACAGGTGTCCCAAGTTTGTTGATCAAAGAAAAAAAGAAAAAAGTGTCCAAAGTTTTACTGGACCGATCTGGACTCGTGTTATTACGGCAAAATTGATCCGAATTCCAAATTTTGGATATAAACCAATCTATCAGTCATGGTTTCTTCAGGTGCATGACTGCAAGATTGGTATGGGGTGTATCAAATTTCCCAAATCCAGAGAACGGGTTTAACCATGAGTAAATTATTGAAAACTTCCACAATTTACTTGAAGTAGGGAGGAACTCATCAATCTTTTAAGAGATCAGACAGTTATCCCTGGATTTTGTGGGTAATTTGGAAGAATTTTAACATATTCATATTTGAGAGGAAAGTCTACCTTGCTAATGTGACAATGAGGAGAATCAGAGAAGATATTCACCAATGTCTTGTTTCACAATTGATGACTATCCAAAGTGAGAATTCACAAGAGTTCCAAAGAAACCAAACCAACAAAAAGTAGATTGTGCCCAAGGAGAGATGGCTCAAATGCAACGTGCATGTTCATCATGGGTGTTGAGAGCATACCCGGCCCAATATTATCAAGGACCAAGTGCTGAAAACAGATTTTGGGCCTTCTTTTAGGCTTAAAAAAAATTGGGCCCTAATTTTAGAACTTTTAAGTTGAAAAGAAAATTTTAACGGGTTCTCTGCAATTGCATACTCAAAACATGGTTTGGGCTGGGCCTGGTTGAGAGACGGTTTTCACACTAGCTGAACAGTTTTTTTGTATTAGGATAAGAAAATACTAGATGAAAATCGTGAAATCTATACTATATAAAAATTAAGGCTATAAGCTCCTAAAGACGTTCACGTAGGATTTAAATCAATCAATAATATTATGCCATGTCAATATTTATAATTAAGTTAATGTTTTAATTTATTTTTAATAGATAACTAAGACACAATTTCCTTATTTTATAAATGCACAATTTTAAATAATTTTTCGTTTTGTGGATATTTTTAGTTTCGATTTTCCTTTTTTATTTGTAACTACTATAGATTAGGAAATTGTTGTAAAAAAATATCAAATGATTTTTAATTACCAATCTTTTTAGGTAGTATATATAAATGTCTTTGGGAATTTGAGTAAAACACCCCTATTACGTTTGGATCTAATTTTTAACAAGGCCATGGTTTATGTAATAAAAGTCCATGATTTTGAT